GTGAAATATATTTATGTTTGTGGTTGTAATGTGACAAAATATGGAAAAGTTCAAGGGGTATGAATATTTTTGCAAACCACTGTAGGTTCAGTTGGTGATTAATGCCAATTTGTAAATAATTTCAAAGAGACTGTGTGATCTGTTTCTGCTAGTCTTCCTGATGATAGCTGTGACCAAGCCTATACGATCCTTAAAATATCTAACGTTATTTGTTTGGGGAAAATAATAGTTCAAACCCAGAACATCCAGCAGTTCAACTCTTGTATTTGTATGTTTTTGACATAGTGGTGATATTGTGGGCTTTTTGTGCCGAAAGTGACTTGAGTATAAACATACTGGATTTTAAATTGGTGTCGGAGGTATTTTTGCTGCAAAGCCTACCATACTGGAGATGCTCTTGTGTATAGACAGAGCAGTAAAAATAAATGGTATGTTTCTGTTACTTTGCCATTATTCAAAATATGCAGTCTCCATCAGAGCAGGCCACATTGCAAGATAAAAAAAACATAAATCTGTCATTTTAAATGTTTTTATCTTTTTCACTGACTAAATAGCCACCTTCTTTTTGTCTTCCAGAGCCACAATGGCCACTGCACCATATAACTACTCCTACATTTTTAAATACATCATTATTGGTAAGTAAACAACATCTGTATCCACACTAATGAATTATATTGATAAACTTTGCAGCACATAGAGTTTTGGCATAAATTCCTCCATAAGAAACTCCAAGCAACTTTGTGGCATAAATGCAGCTTGTACTCTTTGGGCAGTCGGGCACACAATTTTAATTTATGTACTCATTCACGTACTTTCATATTCATAAATTCTGAACATTTTTAAGTTGTTTATCTTCTGGTTAAACTTAAAACACACAGCTACATCAAAGCTGAGAAGCTGAGTCACAAATCCTTACCGTGGTCTGTTAAATATTTCAGATTTTGTTTGTCCAATTATCTCATTTTAACATCGAGATTTTATCCAAAGTCTTGACTTATCTGAATTACTAACATGGTGGTTCTTGGCGAGTGCGTACAAACCTGATCAAAGAAAGAAATGCACTTCTTCTTTTTTTACATAACTTAAATTGTATTGTACACACGGTTTCTCTTTCCTGATTTAAGGACACGTGAAATGTTAAGTGTTTCTGACTGACAGAGAAGTTCTTACATCATGTCAGAGAATAGAATTGTTCTTTCGTTTCCTCAGCTGACCTGAGTTTCTCTCTTTGTGCCTCTCTGCTCAGGGGACATGGGGGTAGGAAAGTCCTGTTTGCTTCACCAGTTCACAGAAAAAAAATGTAAGTGCTGCCCTGATTTTTTTTTTTTTTGCCCCTTTTTGATCTGTCTGTGCTTCAGTGGTTGCCAGATTTCTCTGGAGTGTGTTAAATTGCTTTCAATTTTTTTTTTTTTTTAAACGTAAGCGGAAGTCTGTATCAAAGAAGGCGAGTGTGAGCTCACAGTGAGAGTCTCTTCTCCTGTGTATGTGCCAGCTGCAGCCTCCCATTGCCATTCAGCTCAGTTATGTTCACTCAGTGCTGTGCTGCTATTAAGGAGCCAGATGCTGTGCTCCTCATTCACATGTTCATGATCACATCCTGCCCTTATCTAAACACACACGCAACACACTTACTGGTATGATTCAAGGAAGGGTTTTTCATGTCAGCGTGAAAGGAATTTGACACGTTTTGATTGTTTATATTTTGAGTTTACACAGCTAACATGGTAATTAATTACTGAGTCATCTTCTGCTAGTTAACAGCAGAAATCAGGTTGGTTATTTTGGATGAGTGTTCACATGTACAAAATTTATTATAACTTAAAACTAGGCATAGATATTAGGGGTGCACCAAAAAATCGTTTAACATCAGAATCTGGGACGTCCTGACATCACATGGAGCTGGTTCTGGAATGTATGCATGTGCAGAAAGCACCAAAACAAAGAGAAAACTACATAATTGGAGGAAAGAGAGATTCAACTGACCCTGTCTTCATTGAATGCAAATATTTGGCTCATTTTGTTTTTTACTGAAGAGTCTGAGTTTGACATGAGCTTCATTTGCTAATTTTGCACACAGTGAACTGTGTGCAAAATTAGCAAAATGAAGATGAAGCACTTTAGGAACATGACAAATTTGCTCACATCGAGTTTTGAATGAAAAAATCGATTTTGAATCGAATCGTGAGATAGTAAAAGGTTCCCACCCCTAACAGAAATCATGGATATAAATTAAAATGGATAAAGGATGGAACAAACTGAACTGCCACCCTTAACAGAAGTTCACAATGGATCTGTAGAACTTAATAAGATAAGGTTAACAGTGGAACATTTTGTCATGGAAAGTCCAATTGAATTCACTTCCTCTCCACAGTTATGGCAGACTGTCCTCATACAATTGGTGTGGAGTTCGGTACAAGGATAATCGAGGTGAGTGGACAGAAGATCAAGCTGCAGATTTGGGACACAGCAGGACAAGAGCGCTTCAGGGCCGTCACGCGCTCCTACTACCGTGGAGCTGCAGGAGCACTTATGGTCTATGACATTACCAGGTGAAGCATGTTTTTTTTTTTTGTTTGTTTTGTTTTTGTTTTTTGTTTTGTTTTTGTTCTGCTACACTGGTCCTAACTGGGTTGTCCTGATACCAGTTTTTCTCAAACTGAGTATGACTGCTTCAGTATGGCTACTCGCCACTACTGAGTTAGAACTTAAACATTACTCATTGATTATAAAAACACATTTCTTTTATTTAGAAGCTGATTCTAAATTAGATACATATCTAACGTTTGTCATAGTGACCTCAGTCTGAACGTTCATGTCACATTTATCCAACTTGTACGTCAATGAGCTGGGGGTTACAGATTGATCCATGTATTGGTACTAACTTTGAGTCAGGTTGTTACTCCACATGCTTTCAGCTACAGAGCAGAAGTCCAGTTTCATTTTTTTTCTTTGAATTTCGCATGCATGTCCTGGATGACTGAGAACCCATAGAAACATGTTGGTGTCAGACTGTGTCTATACTAAAACTACTGGATCGATTTCTTTGGTTAGTTTTACTTCGAGCATGTCGCTTTGTTCCATAAATACAATCCTGCATCAGAGCAAAGGCTGATTCAAATGTAAACAATGAACTAAACAAGCATGACAGATAATTATTTAAATGTCTGAGATTTAACAAGAACTTCAGAATCGACGTGCTAACATGTAGCATCCACAGACAGAGAAATGTTTACGTCTGTAAACAGCGTGCTGAACATGATGTCGCACCATCTGCACATACAGGTCACATTGATGGCATAAAGCATTCACACTGGAGTCTGATGGAGGTCGCATTTATTTAATAAAAAATAGTATCTGCTCCAGTTATCAGGACGTTTAGGCAGCACGATGGATCAGTGGTTAGCACTGATGCCTCACAGCAAGAAAGTCATCACTAGTCCTAACAAAAAGTTTTCATAATATACACCATCACCGCCTTTAAACTTAAAAGCAAACAATCCAGAACAAATATGAGCAGCTTCTATCACAGCTTGTGTTCAACATGCTCCCTTCAGATGTTAGACGGTATCATTGTTCTGCTAAACAAACACAGCCCGACATGTGGAATGTCTGTTCAAACTGCAGGAAACTCCACTTGTTTTCCCAAGAGGTAAAGAAAATGGAACTCCAGCTATAAATTGTTTATATTACTGGGAATACTGGTATTACTCCTTTTGGTCTAACCCACAGGGATGAGAGTTGGTGTTTGTTTAGCCCTGCACAGTTGTTGTGAATCTACACATATTCATATCCTGTTATTAAGAGGGTGTGGCAGTGAAAGCTAAGAGTTGTTTTTTTGTATCCTGTTTGTTTTCCTCCTTGTGGTGTGTCTAAAAGTAAAACCTGGTTCAGTGTGCAATGGATCAATGCAATTGTTACAAAATAAGACATGTATTTAAAAATGTGATGCTTCTGGAAACAAACACAGCAAACATCAAATCTATTGATGTTTGGGAGCCATTTCTACGTTTTATACTGTTTTGTATTTTAGACCAACTCCCCATTTATGTAAACATATTAACATCATGATTCTTATCAGCACAAAAACTTAACAGAGTGTAATATTAATTAGAATGTGGAAGTTTAGGTAATGACTTCAAATAGATGACAGGAATAACCTGGTGTTAGAGATCAATGGTGATTCAAACAAAGCATTATAGATCAATCAGTTAATAGTTTTCACTTAAGTTAACAGTTTTAAATTGTTCAGCTTGCAGTGATGCTGTCTCTTCTCATTTGTAGCTGTTGCCTCCGTCTGATCTTTTCAGTGACAGCAGGATATTATGTCTTGTCATAATAACATCTGTACTTGTTTTCACACAGGAGAAGCACTTATAACCACCTCAGTAGCTGGCTGACTGATGCCAGAAACCTCACCAACCCCAATACTGTAAGTACACAGATCGACTTCTCGTTACACTTGAATTATTCTGTGTTTTTGCATCTAAAAAAACCTGCATGATCCTACATATTTAAAATGCATGTTTTATTTTGTCATTAATTTCTTTAATTTTCTTTAATAGTTTAGTTTTCAGTTATTCTCTTGTTTTCCCTTGGTTCTATTTAAAGCCACAGATCCATTTCTTAACAAAGTTTTCCTGGTAAATATGATTAACTCTAAATCCTCCTGCTTCCCATCAGACATCTGTGCAGCAGGCCTCTTCCTGTAAATGTTGTTTCTTTTTAGCTTTTTAAACATTTCTTGAGCATAAACCCAAACAGGAGCTTTCCATACTAGTCCAAAATGTAAGTTTCAAGTTTGCTCAACAGATTCTTAGATAAATATCGTAATGTTTGTCATTTTATTAAATAATTTTTTTCATAAAAGCAAAAGACCAAAAGCATGTTCTTAATGCTAAGAAAAACTGATGTTCTGGGTCCCCAAAATGCAAGTTTCTGTAGATTTTTTTGTGTGCAGATTAGCACTACATCACTTATTTGCTGTATTAAGAATCTACAGTAGTCAGTCCTTCAGCTACAGCCAAAAAAAGCAGCCCTCAGTAAGTTTATGATCTGATTTAGCTGAAATTACTTCTAGAGGCCAAGTGGTGGCGCTGCTGTAGCCAAATTGTTCTTTCTATCCCATGTTTTACAATGCCTGATCATTTGACTTGCATTGCAATCATTGAAATAAAAACCTCCTAATTCAGACAAAGGGCTTTATGACCTAAGATAATAAATTGTCCCAGAAACAAGCCCTATTTTGTGGGTCTCATGGTGACATAGTTACCAGTGATTCTAACGTCATATACACCTCATTCTTTTTACAGACAAATCCTCAGTGCAGCTGAGCTTTTTTATTTTTAATTGTTTTATCTTTTCTAGAGTCACAGAGGAAATTTCTTCCAGGCAGACTCTACTTCTCACTTTTTCCATTCCCTGTGTTCATGTCATCAGGTGATCATTCTCATAGGAAACAAGGCGGACCTGGAGGCCCAGAGGGACGTCACGTATGAGGAGGCAAAGCAGTTTGCTGAGGAGAATGGTGAGCCGTCTCCATTTGATTGTGATCTTAAGTTGTCACTTTCTGAAATCCATCTCTGAAGAATGATACCAGGTTTTGGCAAAACAGCATTTTCTGAACATGACCAAATGTGCTTCTGTTGTGTTTTCAGGTTTGTTGTTTCTGGAAGCCAGTGCAAAAACGTAAGTTTGTGAAACACTGATGCATCAGTCTTAGAACTATTCAATTCCCTGCATTAATTAACTCACATTTAGCAAGTTTTTCATCCTAGTGTCTTTTTTGTTTCAGGGGTGAAAATGTCGAGGACGCCTTCCTCGAAGCTGCTAAGAAAATCTACCAGAATATCCAAGATGGCAGCTTGGACCTGAACGCCGCCGAGTCAGGGGTCCAGCACAAGCCCTCGGCGCCGCAGGGCGGTCGGCTAACCAGCGAACCTCAGCCCCAGAGGGAAGGATGCAGCTGCTAATGACCAAGCAAAAAGCCCCCACCTTGTACCCTTTCTTCTTCTCTCTGTTCTGCCCACCTCCCCCCTCAAGCAAATCCTCCATCCATTCTGACACCTTTGTAAGTTCATCCCTCACTGCACCAGGAGCCGTATGAGAGCGGGGCTGCAGAGAAAAGGAAAAGGGGGCGGTGAATATCAACTTGGGTCAGACTGAGCTGGGCTGTGTGGACTACATCTCCTCTCCCTCTTATTTGCCTGTCTCCCTTTGTTGCTGTGTCAATCCTCTTAAAACTGTCAGTGTATATTTGTCTCATATTGTTCATCCTTCATTCCCCCTCCAAATCTCAGTCTACCCCCCTCCCTATCAGTAGTATCATAGATGGCACCATGAGTTACACTGGTCACTGACACTTTAGATAGATGTAATGTTCAAATAACAAAGCAAGACTGTTTTATGTTTGGTTTTATAGCTATGTATGAAATGTAAACAATGCTAAGTTTCAGTCATCACTCATCATTTTTGTATAAATCCAAACTAAATTATATTCCCTAACTCCTCTCGTTGCATGGTTTATGATTCCATCACTTTATCAGGTCGTGCAGATGAGATATCCCACCTTTTATTTAATTTCTGTGGGGACAGAAAGCAATGAAGTAGTGTAACAATTAGCCGCACAAGTAGATGCTCCAAGCTGTGTCGAAGAATGTGTTCGAATGAGCTTTTTCCAGCAGAATTTAAACCTGCTTCTGGCTTTACATTCTGTTTTTGCTGCTGGCACGAAAGTAAATTGCTTTGCCAAATCTGATAAAAACTCAGGAGAGAGAGAGGAAAAACATGTAATAAATGTAAAGAATTACCTTTTAAATGCTACATGGGTACCGTAATTCCTTGGTCTCTGCTGAGGTGTTACAAAGAGTTTGAGGTGTTTTTCTGGTCGGTCTGAGTGTTACAAAGTTGAATGGACGGTTCTTTAGATGAATTTAAAATGTCACTTTAACAAAAAGTCTTTTCTGTTTTTGATGAAAAGATAAAGTCATCAGTTTGCACCAGCTCTTTGTTCAGCTAACCCAGAAACTCTCCCCACAGTCATATCAACATGTCTGTACCAGCTTTTCTTTTGTCATCGTTTGTTGCCTTATGAAAAGTATTCTTTAGTCTTTGTTTTGCTGCACTTGCTCTTCATGCTGCTGTTTGGATCATCCAGATTCGATGAAATTCTGCTCTTTTAGGATGCCTCTTTCAGTTTTACTTTTTGAATAAGTATATGCATCGCATCTCTAATGACCAAGAGTTAGCAGCATGGTCTTAAACTCACATTTTTGGTTATTTGTGTAAAAACAAATATATTTCTCACTCCTTTTATTGCGATGAAGCTGCACTGAATAGCTTATTTGATGTTCATCTGGAAAGTTGTTGCTCTGCGTCATTAAACCAACACCAAGCAGCAGCATGACTACCTTTTAAACACAAAGTTGTGAAAATCGAGTTGTTTTAAGTACAATTTCTCTGTAACATAGCAGTTCCCTTACAGCTGTATATATTTGCTTCTTAACTGCTGGTGATGACCTCGCTACTGTACTTTGGATTTAGAAATTTGTTTGGTGGCTCTGCCAAGATCTTGTACAGTTAGTGTGCTAGTGGGTTGCCTGTAATTCATGCTTGGGAAATTCTGTAACATAGTTTCTATTAATAATTGTAAGTAAAGGACAGACGACACAGAAAGCCCCGCCCCCAACTACCCCCATCTGCACACTATTGAACTTATTGAGGGGAGAGGAACTGGATTGAGATGATGTACAACTAGTATTTATGTCAGCAAATCTTGCTTCATCTCATTTCTGTACAGGGTGAAGAATGAGGCATGCTTGTGTTGATAATCCATTTTCTTTTTCCACCCAATCATGGCTCATCTGAACTGGAGAGGCCTAAATTGCGGTCTTAACTTTTGGGGAGCAGGGATTGGTTTGTTATTATGAGAACCGGGTGGGCTGGGCTTCCTTTCTCCTGTGTTCCACCATTTTTGCAGTTTTGAGTGACCACTTCTTGCTTTTTGTCTGTCCACAATTTAAAAAAAGTAAAAAAAAAAAAGTAAATATGTATAAATTTTTAAGAAGCTGTGCTAACATTTAAATGCGTTCTTGCGTGTATGATTTTAAAATGTTGACATTTTGATTTTAATGACAAAAATACTCTAGTCAGAAAAAATAAATTATACATAACCTGTACCTGTGTCTTTTGAATCATTAAAACACCATCAGATCCAGAGTTGTATTTCAAGTAGCACAACTGCTTTGTATTTTATTGCAACTAAAATTGCACCCAGGTTAGAAAGGAAAGAAAAAAAAACTTACAAAATGAGGGCAAAGTTTGTTTGCAAAAACTGGTGATTGAGATAAAAATAGAATAGTGGTATGTTTTAGAGATAGGAATACTTAAAGTCAACAATGACAGTACCATTAAAAATCAAGGCTGTTAGCTGTGATTTTTTTTTGTCCTCAGTCTTCGCAGTCAGGCAGGGCATAAAGGATGAGACAACTACAGCACAAATACAGAAAATGTCCAAGAGTTATAGACGAGAACAAAAATCTTACAGTGGAATTCCATGTGTCTGTAATGGTCACCCTATTGGATATACAATTTATTTTTTATATATATAATTTTTTTAAATTGAGACAGCAAGTAAGAATTTCAGTCCAGTGTTTCCCCCAGGATCTATTTTTCTTTCTGGGGTGAAAGCAACAGCTTTTAGACCTCAGAGGAATAAAAGCCTGTCATGAAAACAAGTCAGCTTGGTACTCCTTGTAGCATGTTAGTATTGGCTCTGTTGACTGGCACAGAGAAAGTTGTGTTTACATACATAAAAAGAAGGTCCATTGAGTTGCAGATCATACACACACTTTTTTTCTTTTGCAAACAAATCCAATTTTAAAAAGCCACTTTCAAGCACACAATACAACCTAGCCAGAGTAATATATCTGCACTTTGTGAGTGCTGAAACTGAAAAAGCCCTGCTGGTAGTGTCTAAGGCACTATTTGTTACTCAAGTGTTGCAGAAAAGGGAGAAAGGTAGAGAAAGGCTGAAGTCAGCATCTCAATTTGCTCCCATCGTTCTGTTTTTGGCATATGGTTGCCAACACTGAAAACAGGATCAATACAAAAACACTGGCAAAATTTCATCTCTCAAAAAACACAACCCTGATAAAAACAGAATAGGATGTGTGTTGGACAAAAACATCCCACTCTGTTTTCCTGAACTTTTTGAAGGTGAAAATGGAAAATACAAGTGACGAATCTTTGTAAGGCATTGTGGACCAAAACAAGTAATTTGTTGCCAATTGTCGCAGCACAATAAGGACACATAGAAACAGGCCTTTTTCTTATGATAAAGCTGATGAAGACAGAAAAAATAAAGCCAAAAACAGACATAATTTCAAAGACATTTGGTGAAAAGTCATGATAAAGATTTGGCCCCTAGCCTCATCAAAGGCCCTAAATAAACGATGTGCATTCATAGTTATGGCTGTCTAACAACATCCATGTAAAGGTTCCTTTGATTCCATTCATTGTAACCACAGGATTAATGAAGTCAGAGGACTGTAGAGTGAACCTACAGTGCTGCTCTCGATCTCACCTCACCCTTCACAGGCCACAGCTCTGAAGGGGTAATGTCATATAAAGTCCATTATGGTCCTTTTTATTGCGCTACCTCTGAACGATGTCACTGATCTCTTTGACGGAGGACAGCAGCTTACTGAAGTCCTGCTGCGCACTGGAGCCCCCTGTGGCGGTGGGACAGATCTGAAGTTCGCGCAAGCCGCTCTCGAGCTTGTTGATTGCCTCTCGGAAGGCAAACTTGTTCATCTGCTGAATGGAGTCAACGAAGCTCACGCAGTACTTGGACAGGTTTTTACCGGCCTCCAGCACGGCGCTGTGGCTGCCCGTTTGCTCGGAGACACGAGCGATGGCGGTGCGGAGCAGCTCAGCTCCGTCCAGCAGCATCTCGCGTGTCACGGCTGAGTTCGGGGTGCGTTCAGAGGCTTGGCGGGGTGTGGTCTTGCGGAGAGAGATTCGGGTTCTAACTAAAGGGGTGAATGCAGTTGAGCTCTGATCAGTGGGGGAGGTTACGGACGAGCCCCCCTGGCTCTGGGCAGAAGGAAAAGTGGTCGCTGAAGTGGATGAGGTGGGGGATTTTAGTGGCTGAGGTTTAGAGGAGGAGCTCAGGGGCAGCTTTTTGGATCCCTCACTGACTGGTGAGCGGGCTTGGTCACTAGCAGCTGTCGTGTGGTGAGAATCTGAAATAGAAGGAAGGCACTTGATTTTGATTTCAGACGGAGAGGATGAAGGGGAAGAAGCGGGAGAGGGGAGTTCTTGAGTGGGGCTACGAGACATCTTACTTGTCTTGGGACCAGTTGGCGGTGGAGGTGGGGCTGGTTTGGGTTTCTGTAATTTCCCCTTTTCTCTGACAGATGAGGGGTCTGTCGTGTACTTGTTTCTGCGGGCCTTACACTCGTCTCCAGCTGCTCCCAAAGCAGGAAACACGTTGGACTTGAGAAGCTCTGCATGGAGAGCACTGGTCTTGGAGTTCTCAGGCCCCGGCACACCCGGTCTCTTCACCACCTTGGGTGTCAGTGCTTTTGGACTGGAACCAGGACTGGGATCTCCGTCTTTTCCCAAAAAGGAAGAGGAGGCATCCTGCGATGTGTTCAGGCGTGGTGGGGGAGTCAGGGTGCCTTTTCGAGGGGCGTTCTCTCCTTTCTGCTCATTGGTCCTTTTTCGAGGCAGAGCTGGTTTTCCTACCAAGGTGCTTGAATCAAAGTGACGATGGCCTGGATCTCTTGGCAGCGTGACAGATTTCCACTCTGTGCTATCTCTGCCATTAGTGATGTTAGAGGACCAGAGGAAACGGCTTGAGTTGGAAATAGGTTCCTCTTCACCAGGTGGTGTTGTGGCCTTACCTCCTGGACCAGGTACGGCAGGAGCTCCCTTCTTTCGGGGGAACAAAGGTCCAGGGTAGTTAGGACTCCCACTGGTAATACTGCCTGCCCCATTATTGGTAGTTCTCAAAAACTTCGAGGTCTCATTTAGAGACAAAGGTGCACCATTGTTGAAACCGTCACTGTCTCGAGGATCAGGAGTCACAACCCTCCTGTCAGAGTGACCCTCGTCTCGGAAAGAGGAGCTGCGTTTGGGTGGATCTGGTGCGCTCTTCTTCTTTTTCTTGATGAGGCTGAGGAAACCGCTGCCACGTGTCTTGTCCTTGTCCTTGTCTCTGGGCAGCAAGCGGTCATCTTCATTTAGGTTGTTGTCCAGCAGGGGGCGTTCTTTCCTAGGAAGCATTGGAGAGGACACAGCCACCTCGGGGTCGACTAGGTCTAAGGAAGAGGATATAGGGGACACAGGGATAGAAACAGAAAAAAATTTATTTAAAATACAATAAAACATTATTGCATTAAGATATAACGTTTCAAAACTGAAGGCTTATTAAGGAGAGAAAAAATACAAAGTTAGTATCCAACTGGAGTTAAAACATAAAATGACCAATGAGGATTAGGACAAAGAAAATTACATATAATTACAAAAAGCAACAAAGGCACATGTCGTGCATCGTACCTGGACTGTCTCTGTCTCGGTTTTCCATGTTTCTGCGAGGAAGTCTGGTCTTGGTGGGCAGCTCTGGAGCCTGTTGAATCGGGCCTAGTGTTGTCTTTTTCCCCTTCTTTCCCAGCTCCTTTTCAACTTCTATAATTACACAGATAAGGATTTGACATTTTAACAACCATCAAATACCATTATGTTTTATTTTCTTTTAAATCTGCAAACTACAAATGTTTTAGGAGTTAGAAAACCTGCACTGACCATCAGAGATACTGGATTCCTGAAACATGGTCTCAAAGGCCTGATGTGTTTCAGCGAACGTTGGGCGTTCTCCAGGGCTCCACCTCCAACCTGAGAGTAATGAGTATAAATCAAAAAATACTTCCAAAACAAAACTTTTGATTAGTACGCAAGCATCATAAAAAAATTGTATTTGGACGCATTTTTGTACTCACAAGCTGTCATTAGCTCATAGACCTTCTCTGGACAGCCTTCGGGTCGTTCCATGCGGTAGTCTCTTTGCAGAAGCTCATAGACTTGGGACAGGTCGATACCAGGATAAGGAGACATGCCATAGGTGGCAATTTCCCACAACAGTACACCAAATGCTAAGGAAGAAGAAACAAGGCAGTTAGTTTGGTCTTACATTGTACCAATAGAGTTATATTGGACAATACTGTATATTTATAAAAAAATAAACAGCTATCAAATACCCCAGACATCAGACTTGATAGAGAATGTGTTGTAGGCCAGACTCTCTGGAGCGGTCCATTTAATGGGGAACTTGGCACCAGCGTGAGCCGTGTACGTATCTCCAGTCATTAGCCGGCTAAGGCCAAAGTCTGCAACCTTCACCAGGTGGTTCTCCCCAACCAGACAGTTACGAGCAGCCAAGTCCCTGCAGAACAGGATAAAGGGTCGTGAACAAGATATTAGAATTTATACAGTATGTGACTTTAGGAGAAAGAAAACTATTGTAAAAATGAAGGTAAATAGATTGCAACACAGTAAGGTATAAAAATGGAGAAAAAAAACTGTAGTTTTTTTTACTGTGGTGCTGAATTTCATCATATGTTTTGTGTGATACGGAGTTACAAGCAGAGTCCTGTCAGGCTACAGAATTAAAATGCAGTTTGGCAAATATAAAAACATAAATCTTCTCTCACTGATTCTTAAAGACCAGGTTAAACATGCCAGAACAAACTATATTACGACACTGGCTTCTCTGTGATGCAAAGAGAGCGAGAGGAAAACTGCCCAGGAACGAGGAAAACAAAGATTTAATGTCAGCAAGGTTTTTGTTTTTATTCTCTGATATTGTCAAGTTAAAAAAAACCCACTCGATATTAAAGACTGAAAACAACTTGCTCCTATTATTTTCAATTAAATTTAGACACCTGTGTATAAAGTTTTTTTTCTCCAGGTACTCCATGGCGGAAGAGATTTGTGTGGCCATGTACAGCAGCACCACGGCATTGACGTCCTCTCTGTTGCACTCCCTCAGGTAGTCCAGCAGGTTACCGTGGGTCATAAACTCTGTGATGATGTAGAATGGCGGCTCCCGTGTGCAAACACCTGTGACGGGCAGGTATAAAAACCCAAACTAATGAGTTTGATTTTATTTGAAACAGGCTTTATGAACAGATACAGCAGCATTAGCCAAGATGTTGGCAGGAAAGATTTTACACATTAATATTAATCTATATGACAGGTGTAATGACAGATATAGTATATTGTTTTTGTTTTGCATACCCAACAGTTGTACTAAGTTGGGGTGTTTAATCTCTTTCATAACAGCAGCCTCTTTGAGAAATTCCTCCACCTCCATTGTGTCTTCCTGCACAGATATTGCCAAAAACGTGAAGCAAGCTTTATGTTAGTTGCAGTTACAACAACATAACAGCAGGTGGCAGCATTATTCAGCTAGAATACAGTTTCATATTGACACCTTCCTAAAAATTTATATTGCCTAAAGGCCTGCATGCTCCGTCCAAACTGATGAAATTGGCTCTCATTGTTGCAGTTGCATGACGAAAATAGTGTCATTCAGTTCACAGCTTCGAGTCTTCCACCCCTTCTTGTCACAACCCGTCAGAATTATTACTCCCCCCGCCCGCCCACACACACACACACACACACACACACACACAC